CCCTAATGATTCCTGTTTAACTGTGTTTTCTTTGTGCGTCCATTTTTGACAGACACTGCTAGTTAGTTCATATATTGTTTTTAAAGAAACATGCAATATCATCAGGATTGTTCAAACACCTTTATAGGATTATGATATTTTGAGACCCCTTAGGTGTTAGTCCCTACTTGGATAAACTGGTTACACTGTTAAGTTCAATAATCTGCCAACACTTATTCATTCCTTATGAGATGATAATGGAACAGTGTAAAGAGTTTTGTGTTGACAGTGTTCTCTCTCTCTCTCTCTCTCTCTCTCTCTCTCTCTCTCTTTCTTTCTCTCTCTCTTTATTTCTCTGCCCTGGTCTGATTACCACAAGCTTCAAGCTTTAAAATATGTTAAGAGATGATTTATTATCATACTGCAAATCTTACAAGATGACATAATAAACACATGATTAACAGTTATCCAAGTAATTCAAAGAGGTTTTGCCTTTCAATCATTCATGTACAGTAACCACTTTATCCTCGTAAAGGTCATGGTGCATCCTGAACCTATCCCAAGAGTGCAAGGCAGGTATACACACTGCATGGGGCAATGGTCCATCATAATAATTCACACATAGGTGCAATTCAGAAGAGCTTTTCTATCTACTAGTGGATAATTAGAAAAGAAAAAAAAACATGGGGAAAGCATATGAAACTCTGCACAGTAATCATACAGTAACCAAAGCTCAGGATTGAACCCTAGACCCTTCCCATGGTTTGTAATTTAATGGCACAATGGAACTAAAAATGCAAAAAAAAAATTCTCAATTACTAAAAGTCTAAATACACTCTAAACGGGCAAAATGGGCAAAAATGGTTTGAATGGTTATATGAATGGGGTAAAAAGTCTTTCCAAATTCATCTAAATATAAGTACAGGCCATTCATATTTGTTTTTATCCAGACAGCATGCAGAAAGGACAAATGCTGAGGTGGAAGAGAAATATGTGCCTATGGAAGAAAAAAACAACAACAACAACAAAAATTAGATGAGTTGATTATGAGTTGAAATTAGATGGTTGCCCGAGGTAGACATTGCCAAATTACCTACCTTAAATGAATCCAGAGCGCACTATATACTGTATGTTATTAAATTATCAGGCCTGTCTATCTGTTGGCATTAGTATCTCATTTAACACTTAAAAAGCCATTTGAAGCAAAAGATTTTCCAGCGTTTTGATTACAGTGTCATAACATAATATCAGTTGCCTTTAGTTGGATGATTAAAAAAATACTCCTGACAAAACAATCCTCACAAAAACTTAATAAAAACTTCAAATAAACTCAACACATAAACTCTAAACCCATCCAACTTGCTTTGATATTTGGGATGCATTTTAGCTTTGGACACATATAGCTTTAACTTTATTTACATGTTCCTACAACGTTCAGATTGATAAATGGGGATTTATAATTTATTTCGTCATTACCTAACAAACAAAAAATCAATCCCATTAAATTCTCATAAGCTGCTGTCAAGAATTAATCCTTTCAATATACATTTAGCAGGATCCCTGGTTTGAGCCTGAGCGCGGTTTATTGTCTGTTTAGAGTTTTGCACGTTCTCCCTGTGTTCGCGTGGGTTTCCTCAAGGTTCTAGGATTCCCTCCCACACATAGGTGGATGGATTTCCTATGCTAAATTGTCCCTAGGTGTGAATGTGTGTGTGCATTGTGCACTGAGATGGACTGGCATCCCATGTGGTGTGGGTGAATGAGTGAGTGGATGAGAGGTTCCTTACCTTTAAGTCTCTCAGCTTAGACAGTGAACCACAAGCTTTTGCATCCCATAAGAACACAAACTTTGAAACAAAACAAAACAAAAAACAATTAAAGCTCTAACACTAACACTGATACTGGTAAGCAGAGATAACAATAAGGGAACTGCCTGAACAGCTCTTAAAAATGTAGCCTATAGAATATTTGACTTAGGTACTGAGTGTGCTTGAGTAACAGTGGCTTAAACCAGGGAATGCTACATCTGTCTCACTTAGCTGAGATTTAAAAGACGCACTATTCCGAATGTCGAAAATAAAGGTGTTTGCATTCGGTACACAGTTTCACACTAGCACAGGAAGTGACTTACTCCACTGGAATAAAGTTGGTTTGTTGTTGGATGTTTTGATATATATCAACATAAGCTATTAAATCATATGTAATTTAGACATGAATTTCACTGCAGAATAGGCCTATACACAAAATATAGCATTATTTAAAGCTTGATAGCATTTGAAGGGAATGATGTACAGTCAGAAAACCAACTGTGGAAAGTGTTCATCTAGGTGTCAGGTACGTGAAACACCTTTTAGATTTGTGATATTTAACCCTACAATACATGAACCAAAAAAATGCTCCTTGGATGAGTTTAAAATCAAATGGCAAGGGATATTTGGAAATGCACCAACAACTTATTTTGCCATCTACATAAGACAAGATAAGGTAATGTTTTTGTTATTTTATTGTCCGTGGGAGATTGTTCCACAACAGCAGCCATACATACAAACAAACAAAACACATACATCTAAATCCATTAATCATATTCAATACACTATTTGCATAATCTACATTGAACAAACATTGAAGAGCCTGAACTTTATTCCAGTACTAACTCCAGCGCCTGAAGCACACTTTCCCCCTCAATTTATATGAAATATTACATATTTTAACCCAGCTTGAAGTCAATAAACCGTATCAGAGACTACAATAATTTATTATAGCTTCTTATTTTATATATATATATATATATATATATATATATATATATATATATATATATATATATATATATATATATATATATATATATATATATATAGTTTTAGGGGGAATGTTTTGAACAAGAAAAATGTACACAGAAATCAGTCACGTGAGAAATAAAAGGACAAACATAAAGACATAAAATTTAAATAAATTAATAAATAATATATTATGTGTTTGAATTTTTGATTGCGACAAATCTGTTTTCCCCCTCTCTTTTTCTTTTCAGAAACACACAGCACCACCATATGAAACCGGAAGTAAATGCTGCCACCGAGCGGGCTTCCCATGATGCTTTGTGCGCACTAAACGCAAATAATTCGTGTTCTTATACGTATTTTTTGTTTTTGCGTAAACGCAATTTGCCAGGATATACTGAGGTAATATATACATATTGTCATATTTTATTGTTTGTAAGTGTAAACCGTCATAATGATGCATTTACCATCGGCTGGAAATATATTGCCTGTGAGGTTGTGCTCCTCCCACAGAACTTCCCGGTATTGAATTTCCCAGGATAAAGCGGGAAGATGAATGAATGAATAATTTTTGGAAGCCCCACTGCGTGGTGGGGCTGAGTGTGTAGTCTAAAAGCAACATGCGGACACAGCTGGTAAAGTTAATCAGAATAAAGTTTGTAGAGTAGTGTTGGTGTAGATTAAAATATAAGAATAACACTGATTATTACAGGAACATAAATTACACGTTGTTTGACTAGGTATAAGGTTCGGAATTTTTATTTATTTATTTTCTATTACTTCAACTTCTCCCAGTGAAATGTATGTGTAATGTATCATGTGTCTTTAACTGAGCCTGAATTGCAGTTAAGAGAAATGAGAGTTGATATTATAACCAATAAAATTATAAAGTGGATATCGGATATTATATCCTATATTATTGTTATCCATCCATCAATCCATATTCTACTGCTTACTCCTTTTCAGGGTCGCGGGGAACCTGGAGCCTATTCCAGGAAGCATGGGGCGGGGTAGACCCTGGACAGTGTACCCATTCATACACTACGGAGACATTTTATTTATTATATTATGTTTTCTTTCTTTATTTATTTAATTATCTGCAAATGCACGGAAACTTGAATAAGAAAAAACAAGGCTGTTCTTCATTGAGCCTCCTGTGCTCCAAAACCAACCAAGAAGAAATACATAGATAGATTAGATAGATTATTCAAACATAGATAGATAGATAGATAGATAGATAGAGTAGCACGAGTCTGTTGCTCGGTAAATTGTGTAGTTATATTAATTGACGTCTTTAGTCGTTTATGTATTATTTTTATTTTATTTTATGTTACATACTATAGTGGATAAAATACTGCCAAACGTTGTGTTCTTTGCAGTTGCTTTTCTATTTAAAAGGACACGTACAACAAAATAACTCAATATCCGTTAAAGATTTTGAAAGGCGCTGTTTAAAACGCTCTTGGGCATTCTTGGACATTTCGTACAGTAAGTTAATATATACTTTTTTTCTTTTTAGCACCTTTATAGGCTTCAGTGAAAGCCCCATAAGCTATTTTTACTGCTCTAGTAACGCAGAAACCCGCCCACTGCACGCGGAAACCCGGAAGTAAATGTTGCCCGTTGAATGTATTCCCCATAATGCTTTGCGCGGTGTAAAGCTCATATCATTTGGGTTATTTCACGCTTTTTGTTTTGATTTTATAACATGACTTATCACTACATATAGCTGCAATATATACTTTTTATCATGTTGTACTGTTTCTAACTATAAACCGTGATAATTTTTCACTTACCGTCGAGTGGAAATATATTTGCTGTGAGGCTCTTCTTTTCCCACCGTGATGTTCGGTATTGAATTACGTAGGATAAGCGGTAAAAATGTATGGATGAACAATTTTTGGAAGCTCCACCGCGAGGTGGGGCTGTTATTTATGTTCGAAAAGAGAACGGTCCCAATATAATTTGTGTTTGAATTTATCGTAAGGATGCTTTATTTATCCTGCTGTTTTGTTTTTTCTGTGTGAGATTTTATTTTCCAGAATCTTTACACATTTCTCACCTCAGTGTTGTGAATGTAGTCACTGGGACTAAACGGCTTCAGCTGTGCAAATGAAGCTCAACCAAACATCATGTTAACGAGTACTTCACGCTCGGTCATTTCTTTTAACTGACCAAATACACGCATTATAAGCACAGTATCATTTCAAAAGTTTCTGCAGCGAAGCGTTTTCCTGTGGTTCTTCGTTAGTATAGTGGACAGTATGTTCCCCTTTTTTGCCGCGCAGAAGTTCGGGGTTCGATTCCCCGACTGGGAGACTTAATTTTTTTTCTTCACATCCATCCATCCATACATCTTCTACCGCTTATTCCTTCTTCAGGGTCACGGGGAACCTGGAGCCTATCCCAGGAATCATAAGGCACAAGGACACCCTGGACAGTGTGCCAGTCCATAGCAGGGCACAATCACTTACACATTCACACACCCATTCATACACTACGGACACCTTGTATTTATTATATTATATTACATTATATTATATTATGCTTTTTTATTTATTTATTTAATTATCTGCAAATGCACGGAAACTTGAATAAAGGCTGGTCTTCATTGAGCCTCCTGTGCTCCAAAACCAACCATCCATCCATCTTCTACTCTTACTCCTTTTCAGGGTCACGGGCTCCAAAACCAACCAAGAAGAAATACATGATTATTCAAACATAGATAGATAGATAGATAGATAGAGTAGCACGAGTCTGTTGCTCGGTAAATTGTGTAGTTTTATTAATTGACGTCTTTAGTCGTTTATGTATTATTTTTATTTTATTTTATGTTACATACTATAGTGGATAAAATACTGCCAAACGCTGTGTTCTTTGCGGTTGCTTTATTATTTAAAAGGACACGTACAACAAAATAACTCAATATCCGTTAAAGATTTTGAAACGCGCTGTTTAAAACGCTCTTGGGCATTCTTGGACATAGTAACGCAGAAACCCGCCCACTGCACGCGGAAACCCGGAAGTAAATGTTGCCCGCTGAACGTATTCCCCATGATGCTTTGCGCGGTGTAAAGCTCATATCATTTGGGTTATTTCACGCTTTTGTTTTGATTTTATAACATGACTTATCACTACATATTGCTGTAATATATACTTTTTGTCATGTTGTACTGTTTCTAACTATAAACCGTGATAATTTTTCACTTACCGTCGAGTGGAAATATATTTGCTGTGAGGCTCTGCTCTTCCCACCGTAATGTTCGGCATTGAATAACAAAGGATAAGCGGTAAAAATGTATGGATGAACAATTTTTGGAAGCTCCACCGCGAGGTGGGGCTGTTATTTGTGTTCAAAAAGAGAATTGTTCCAATATGTTATGTGTTGGATTTATAGTAAAGTTACTTTACTGGCTGTTTGATTTTATTTTGATTAGACTTCTGGTTCCTTAACGATTTGGTTTTCTGTGCAAGTCTCACCTCAGTGATGTTAATGTAGTTATTGGGACTGAACGGCTTCAGCTGTGCAAATGGAGCTCAACAGAACATCATGTTAACATTGGTCATTTCTTTTAACTGACCAAATACACGCATTATAACTAGAGTATCATTTCAGAAGTCGCTGCTGCGGTTTGGTTGCTCGATAGTATAGTGGACAGTATGTCTCCCTGTTTTGCCGCGCAGAAGACCGGAGTTCGATTCCACGACTGGGAGACTTCATTTTTTTTCCCCACATCTTACTCTATTAAAGATTTATTCATCAGCAGGATCACACTCCAAATATACAATACATACATGGCCAAATATAGTGCAGACACCTGACCTGGAAGCACACTGTTTTTCTTAAAAAGCAAACAACAACAACAACAAACACTTAACCCCTAAAAACCCAACCCCACATTATCCTTTAAAATAATAATAATAATAAATTTACTCTAGCTCTTAAAAAAATCTTGTTTGGGTGCCACTTAGAAGCAAAGTCTTGTATTTCAACCTCCCTCCCTGCTATGGTGTTCTACACGGATAATCCAATAGTATGTACCTCTCTAAACATGATCTATCAGTTTCGCCGTCATTTTAAATCTACCTCGGCCTCAACCATGACACCTATATGTAATAACCATCTCTTTCCCCGTCCTTTATGGATTACACATTCTCTTTGTGGGGAAAGAAGGGTCTGAAACGCTTTGAGGATCTTTTCATGAATAACGTGTTTGCAAACTGCTCTGGATTATCCTCGTCATTCAGCCTGCCTCCGTCTCACCTAGTCCGTTTCTTTCAGATTACGCATTGTGTCTCCTCCCTATTCGCTGGTTTTCCCTCCTTACCTACGAAGTCTGCATGGGAAGAGGTGTTCAAGCTGAATCCTCATAAGGGTGGCATTATCTCACGGATATATGCAACGATCTGGTCACAGGACGATTCTTACAATATCAAAAGCATCAGTGCTTGGGAAGAGGAATTGGGCCTAGAGCTTGAGGATGATTACTGGGGCAGAGCGTTAGATAATATACGGACCACCACGTCCTGTGCTAGACTTCGTTCTATACAATTTAAAGTTGTCCACAGAGCCCACCTATCTAGGATTAAACTGTCTCTCTCTCACACACACACACACACACACACACACACACACACACACAAAATATATATATATATATATATATATATATATATATATATATATATATATATATATATATATATATATATATATATATATATATATATATACACACACACATATACATATATATATATATACATATATATATACTTATATACATATATATACATATATATATATATATATCATAATTCTATGATCAAAAAAATCTTGTTTGGTAGCACTACTTGTATTGTTCTCCGCTTGATATATCGCTTTGCTTGTATTTCCTCATTTGTAAGTCGCTTTGGATAAAAGTGTTTGTTGAATAAATGTAAATGTAAGCACAATTGTATAGAATGTGTTCGCTGTAGCTTTACAATTTCCCTTCAATGGAACTAAGAGGCCCAAACCTGGTCCAGCAAAACAGAAGGTTAGTTTGGAAGAACTTGAGTGACCTCAACCCCACTGAACACCTTTCGGAAGATCTGGAACCCTGCTGCATCTTAGGCCTTCTCACCCAGTGCCTGACCTCACTAATCCCACGCTCCAAAATATACTGGAAAGCCTTCCCAGAAGAGTGGATGTTATTATAACTTTTGGCCAAATAGTGTATATTATAATATTGTATGTAATCTAGTCCTACATGTGCAATATATTATGTGCTGTCAGGGGACAAAGTGATGTCAACAAAATAATATGGAAACCCATTACAGAAGTAAAGAACAAGAGCTTCAGTAAGTGCATTTGCATGCATGGCAACAATAAGTGCATTTATATGCACACTAATCATTTTATCATTATCAGATTTCAGCCGTTGTCTGATTTTTCAAGAGATTTTTGCAAAATTTTTAGCTGTTTTAGACATACCTTTTTTCAACTGTCTTCAACCTTTCCAGCCCAAATGCATCTCAAAATCTTAAATCAAAATAACGTGGTTATCAAGTTTCATGAAATTTGATAGTTACCTGGACTTTAGACTAGTAGTTGAATTAATCTGTACATATACAGCTTGTTAATTTTGTAAAACAAGAAAGACAAAATAATGGATTAAAATACGGATTGTGCATGTTGCGAAAATGAAAGGATGAAGTGTTTACCAATACAACACAGCTACCAAGTCAATATATGTTTCATGCTTTACAATCTTGGATGAATCCTAAATGTCATTCATTGCAGCTTGGTCTCCTGTCCTCTTCACCCAGCTTGGTTTGTCTATAAACTCACTGTTTGAATCAAGAGTGTTGGGAACTTTATACACTAGCATTGATGTTGGTGAAAGAGATTGAGTGAGTCATGTCTCTGATTTCCCTTTATCAATATACTGAAGACAAATTATCACAATCAGCCAAAATATCACAACCAGTGCAGTCAAATGTGCTGGTAATAAACCACTATCCAAGTTTTCTAACTGCTGCTCAACAGGAATGGAAATGCTGCAGCAGAAAATCAGCAAAGGTTAATGGTTTGTTTTCAGGGGTTCCTGGATTTTGCAGCAAGTACTCAGCATGTGCATTATTTTTGCACTATGAATTCTTCCCTGTGTTTATCTGTTGAAATACATGTCCATTCTGTAATTTGAGAGATGATGCACCTCTGTGCCTTGGCTGTAGCATAGGTTGGCCATTGTTATCTGATAAAAAAGGTATTTGAAGTCGCCTCACTTTCTAGTTGTCCTATTTGAAAGACCCAAATGTGGCTTGCTGTACTCTTCACAGTACGTCCTGTACACCAGATATAATAAGGGCTTGTTTGCTGCACATTTAGCTCATAGACCAATTTTTCCAAAACATTACATAATTCAACCCAATTTAATGTCTTATATAACTGAGACATACAGCTCTCTTTATGCTTCATTGGTAGAAAATCTGTTCTATGTCATGTTTTCTTAGGGCAGGCCGTGTGTGTGGCCAGCACATCTTGACTATCTCTCCGATTCCAGGTTACAGAATGTCACAGGTTACAGAGGTATCAAAGCATCACATTCTCACTAATCCTGTGGTGTCACTTGGGGTGTTTGGTATCACACACTGCCCATTTCATCTCTTTGAGCAGGTAGTGTGTGTCAGTTCCTGTCCTTGAGGATCAGTGTCGGGTCTGTTTGCACTTCACCTTTGCCCTCTTACCCCAGCTGCCCTGCCATCACGTCAGCTGTCGCTCACCTTACTCATGTGCGACAGAATAACATAGGGGGTGAGAGATAGCCTTGACATACCCAAAGTAACGGACCTGTGTCATGTGATATAAAGCTCTTTTTCCATCCGTTGTGTCTTCAGTGTCATCTGAACTTGAGTAATTCAAAGTGATGAGTATGGTTCTGCTTGCCCCAGGCCAGACATACGAGTTTAGTTAGTAGAGTGTGTGGAACATGAATGAGGATTAAGATTAGACACTGAGCACAAAATTGTTGAAGGAAGCAACCCTAAGCAAGTGGGGCATTTACACTCACAGAGCACTTTATTAGGAACACTATACTAATACTGGGCCTCTCTTTGTTCTCCCTACAGCCTCAATTCAACAGAAATCGAGATTCATCAGACTAGGCTACATTTTTGCAATTCGTAAATGTCCAATTTTGTAGAGTCTGTGCCCACTGCAGCCTCAGCTTTCTGTTCTTGACTGACAGAATTGAAACCTGACATGGTTTTCTGCTGTTGTAGCCCATCTGCCTCAAGGTTCAACATATTGTGCATTCTGAGATGCTTTTCTGCT